CTGGGAGCACATAGCCCTGCACTCTGTCTGGAGCTTCTGGAGCATGCCAGGATATGTATGTGGCCAGGGGAGCCCAAGAGGTCCCTCGGCTCCCATCCTGGTCCATGGGCCACCCTCCGTTAGCTGTGGCTCTGTGACTACGTGGAGTCGAGCGCAGCCCTTCTCAGGACCGGCCCCAGGGCAAACTGTAGAGAAACCGTAGAGTGGTACTCATTATTGCACTTCACCAGAGGCTCTCCACCTTCTGGGCACGTGGTAGAATTAGATTTCCTGGCCCCTTGTGGTCGGGTGGCTGCATGGAGCTAGTTCAGGGCAGAGGTGGCAAAGCTTCCTTCTAAGCTGTATATATAACTGGTATATTTCATCACCTGCAGAGGATCCTCAAGGACTCTCTTGTCTGCTGAGTAGGCAGTCCTGTGTCCCGAGGCCATCCAGGGACCAGTAGTGGGACAGCTCTGCTACCCTCCACACAGGCCTCTCTATCTGGGTGTGTCCAAGGCAACTGCCCCATGTGTCACCCATTCCCAGACAGCGGGAAGGGGAGCTAGGGCATGCAGGCCAGCAGCTGATTTTTAGGAAGGCGACCCAGAGGTGTTTTGTTCACATCTGTCATCCTAGACTTTGTCACATGGCCACATCTACCACAAAGTCATCTGGGGAATATAGTTTCTAGCAGGGCAGCCATGTGCCTAGCTTAAGCTCAGCAAAGTTTATCATTCAAATGAAAAGGGGAGCATGGATACTGGGCGCAGTCAGTGCTCTTCGACTGACTCACCATCCCGCTCTAAACAGTGCCTGGTTCTCCTTGACAGGCCCTGGCTGCCCACAGCCCATCCACTGGCCAGCTCGGCCTGGGACCTTTCCCTACCCTTCACCATCTACCTTCCAGCTCTGAATGACCTTGGGCAAGATGGGTCTCCGCCCAGGGCTTCCTTTTCCTCATCTGTAAAAGAAGGCTTTTAGGCCAGTGATCGCTGAGGTTCCTCCCAGCACTGGCACTTGACGGCTTTGGTTATGGGCATGTTATTTAACTTCTCCGGTTTCAGTTTCCTTACCGGGAAAACAGAGAGAAAAAATGGTTCTCACCTCAGTGGATTGTTATGAAATCATCTAGGGTTGTGCCTGACATATAAGAAATAATCAATACATGTTTGCTATAATCAAGATCATCTGAGTTCCGTCTGTCATTTCCTTAGAAAGATTCTGATGAACTTGTTCGTCCTAACGGCTAACACAGGGTCAGTAAATGTTTTGCACAAGTCCTGTCGTTATCCTCCCTCTGTAACTGACATTGCTAGTTAATCAAGACGTTTTCTGCATGAGCCAGGATTCAGCCTCACAGTCCTCAATCAACCCAAGATGCCTTCCCCTCCTCCGGGAATTCTTCCTGATTCACCCCCAGGTGTGTACCCAAAGCAGCCCACACACACCCTATCATGGCTTTTGTTACGCTGTATTGTAATTTTCTTTGTACTTGGCGGCACCCTAACTAGGCTGAGTTCCATGAGCAAGACTGCAGTTGGTTTCTCTGAGGTCTAGCCCGGTGCCTGGGACACTGTGTATGTTAAAAAAATGAATGCTAGATCTTGTGGCTGCAAGTGGGGAGAAGTCTGGGGGAAGGTCAGTGGGCTGCGGAACTGCCTTACAGACGACCGTGTTCCCAGCCTCTGGAAGCTCCTGTAGGAGCTGTGGGGGCAGTGTGCCCAGCCACATTGCCCCTGCAGGGCTGGCTGGACACTTCTGAACACATGTGGGGACCGAACAAGGCCAACAAACATGGAAGCTTTCAAGACTACTCCTGGGGAGCTGCCCTCCCAGGGTCCGGGGGTGTCTGCCTGCCCCTCAGGCTCCAGGCTGCAGGGTGACTTCAACTTAGCAACTAATGGACCTGGGAAAGCTCAGGCACCTGCTCTGCACTCTCGCAGACCAGAGCTCAGCATCACCTTGGTGACAGAATGGAGGGCAGGAGGGGGCGGTAGAGCTGCCATCTGCCTGCTTAGCCCGGAGAGGTGCTCACTGTGGGGCTCCAGCAGGCCCGGGGAGGAGGCAGTGACCACAACCATCCTCAGGAGATCCTGTCATGCCGCATGGAGTGCTCACAGACGAGGTAGACCACGGCGTGGCCACTTGAGCCCCAGATTTCCAGTGCCTAGCTCATGACCACACACTGCCACCTGATTTTGGACTATAAGGATGGTTACCAGACCTGGGTCCAATGGGGAAGCAGTATGTGATCTGAGGGGACCAGGACGGCCTATGTGAGAGGCCCTGAGATGCCAGAATCAGGAAGAAGCCAGGTCCCCTTACTAAGAGTACCTGCTGGCTACCCAATTGCAGCCATTTTATAGATAAGGAACCTGAGACTCAGGAAAGCTAAGTGACTTCCAAAGGTCACATAACTTGGAAACCAGGTCACGTCCCTCCAGGTGTGGGCTTGTCTCTCCATCCTGCAGGCCTCTAGTGAGGATCCTTTCCTCAAACCAGTCCCTGATGCCACTGTCCCACAGCAGACGCAGATCCAATGGGCCGGGGTCACTGAAGAATAACTAATTATTTAAATATTTAAAATTTTCTGTCCCTGATCTCAGGTGATCCAAACGGCACCCGTGGGCCAGATACTGGGTATTAAGATAGCAGGGAGCCACGGACCTTGACCTCCAGGACGTTGGGGCTGGAGGTGGACTCAGAACTGCTGGGTGGTGGTGCTTACAGGGTGTTCAGCGATGGGTTGGTGGCATCTCCACTGGATCCTTGGGTTAATAATAATACATACATACATACGTACACAGACCTATCATATAGCGAGAAAATGTGTTCAACTATCTTTGTGGACTTTCCCTCCCTCCCGCCACTTCCATGTCTGCCACAACCTTGCCTGGGTTCAGCCAGGGCTGTCCATTGCTTCTGGGAGGATTAGGATTGTTACAACAGGAACACAAAGGAGAGAAAACCATGATGCAGATTTTGACTTCCAAAGAGGTTCTTAAAGCCCCTTTCAAAGTCAAGTTGTGAAAGTCGTCTCTATTGATTTACAAAATCAGGGAGTATGGAGAGGAAAAAAGATTGTTTGCAAATCCAAATTTGATCACATTTACTTATTTAACAAGTATTTTTGAGAACCTCTTTTGAGCTGTTCTGGATACTAAGGCTGTTTATCCATCTACACAGTGGGAAAGGAGGGCAGATAAAGAATTAGTCAGCCTCCAGGAGGGGTTGGGAATTGCTTGCTTTGTGGGTTTGGGAGGGTGTGGTAAAGTTGAGGTGGGAGTGTGTGGAAGGCAGAGGTGGAGTCCAGCGGGACCTCCTAGACCAGAGGTCCTCAGGGAGAAGGGGGTCAGTGTGGGGGACGCTGCCTAGCTCTGCCTGAGCACCCACCGTCTCCCTAGTTGGTGCTGCCCATTGAGCGGGTCTCCACACCGTCTGCGCCAAAACCCGTGTATGGCCCCCCCGGACGACCTGCTGAGTCCTGGACCATAGGAAGAGAGATGCTCGACCGTACCCTAGACTTGGCTCAGGGCCTCTGATCCTGCGTGGCAACCCCTCATCTTCAATGCCCCAAGACGCTTCAGCAAATTACTGATCTGCCTGAGCACCAGTTTTCTCATCTTGGGACTCGAGGTTAGCATTCCGCTTTGCCTGGAATGTCCTAAGTCCTCACCTGAACTTTTTCCTCAGAACAGATTATTATAAGTGGAAGTCCTGGACCAAAGGGCATCAGCAATTTTAAGACTGGAGCTACATATTGCCAGACGGTTTTCCAGAGAGATCATACTGACTGAAGATTTCCCCAGCAGTGGGCATAATCCTTTCCCTGCATCCTCTTCAACGTGGAAAGTTAGCATTTCCAGATTGTTTCCAATTTGGTGGGTACAAAAGGCACCCCATTGTGGAGGTGCAGCGTGGTGCACTGGTTTAAGAGCAGGTTCTGGGGGCAGACTGGTGAGTGCAGTCACACCCTGCCCCCTGCAGGCTGTGTGACCTAGGACGTGCTCCTTGGCCTCAGTTTCTTCATCTGTAGGATGGGGATACATCATAGAAGTGTCGCGAGGCTTAAATACAATAGCATAAGCTATGTGGGGTGTGGTTAAGTGCTTAATAAATGTAATTTTCCATTTACTTGGTTAATGGTAAAGTTGAACTTTCTCTTGTCTTTCTTGTTCAACAAATAACATGTTTGTTTTTTGCCCACTCTTCTATTGGAGTACAGGACTTTTTCTTACTGATTTTTAAAATTTTTTTGGAAGAAGATCAGCCCTGAGCTAACATCGGCTGCCAATCCTCCTCTTTTTGCTGAGGAAGAGTGGCCCTGAGCTAACATCTGGGCCCATCTCCTTCCATTTGATATGTGGGATGCCTGCCACAGCATGGCTTGGTAAGCAAGGAGTATGTCCGCACCCGGGATCTGAACCGGTGAACCCCAGGCCGCCAAAGAGGGGCGAGGAAACTTAACCACTGCCCCACCGGGCGGCTCCTTACTGATCTTTTAATAAGTCCTTATGTGTTAATTATATTAACACTGGGTCCTCTAATTTTTAATAATAGATACACATTAGAATTTCCTGGGAGCTTTTAAAACTTAAATCAATCCTGTGAGTGAGGCCTGGGCATTAGAATGTTTAGTGCTCCCGAGGCTATTCTCCTCTGGAGCCAGGATTCAGAAACAGTGGCCCATTTTAATGTCATCATTTGTTTGCTAATTTTTTACAGTTTCTGCAGTCACAGGGCTAGGTTCTGAGATACCCGCTGCTGGGTGATTTCGTGGCTGTGCGAACATCATCGAGTGCACTTCACAGACCTGGATGGTGTAGCCTACCACACACCTAGGCTCTATGGTGTAGCCGATTGCTCCTTGCCTACAAACCTGTGCGGTGTGTTACTCAGCTGAATACTGTAGGCAATTATAACACAATGCTAAGTATTTGTGTATCTAAACATAGAAAAGGTACAGTAAAATATACAGTATAAAAGATAAAAACGGTACACCTGTGTAGGCCACTCACCGTGACTGGAGCTTGCAGGACTGGAAGTTGCTCGGGGTGAGTCAGAGCGTGAGCGGTGAGCGACTGTGAAGGCCAAGGACGACACTGTGCCCTGCTGCAGACTGTCCAAACACGGAACACTCAGGCTACACTAAATTTATAAAAAATATTTTTCTCTCTTCAGTAATAAATTAACCTTTGCTTACTGTAACTTTTTTACTTTATAAACTTTTTAATTTTTTTAACTTTTTGACTCTCGTAACAATACTTAGCTTAAAACACACATTGTACAGCTGTACAAAAGTAATTTCTTTCTTTATATCTTTATTCTATAAGCTTTTTCCTATTTTTCAATTTTTTTTAACTTTTTAAACTTTTTCGTTAAAAACTAAGACGTACACACATACCCATACACAGGGTCAGGATCTTCACATCACTGTCTTCCACCTCCACATCTGGTCCCACTGGAAGGTCTTCAGGGGCAATAACACACATGGAGCTGTTGCCGCCTGTGGTAACAACGCCTTCTTCTGGAACACCTCCTGAAGGACCTGCCTGAGATTCTGCTTGAGGAGGTGTCATTTTTTTCAGAAATACATCCATGGTGGTTTGATGGTTTGTTTCCTTTTTTCATCATAGATTTGCCTGTAAGCAGATAACCATAAACATTCGCCTCTACTAATGAAAACTTCCAGCGTTGGGGTCCATGTTTTCAAACTTTTTTAAGGAGCTCGTTGAGGTCTGGAAAAGTTTCTGCTAAACCCTTCACTGTGAATTTTCTTGCAGGTTTCTCTTTTTCTTCTTCTGTGGTTGCCTTTTCTCTTGCCTCTTCCTTAGCTATGTGTTCCTGTTCCAGTTCCAACAACTCCTGATTAGTGAATTCCTCAGGAACCACCTCTAGGAGCTGCTCAGCGTCATCCTCATCGACAGCCAGGTTAAAATTATTTGTCATTTCAACCACAGCCTTGATAATTTTTGCAACCTCGCTCATCATCCTTGGCAAACCCTTTGAGGTCACAGGCAAACCTCTTGAGTGTCTCCTTCCAGATGCACTAGGCAATAGGAATTTTTCAGCTCCACTGAAATCTTGTGGGACTACCATCGTATATGCAGTCCATGGTCGACCAAAACCTCGTTATGCAGCACATGACTATAGTCACATATTTCTTCTGATTTCCTGCAGTGACTTCACCTCTCACTTCCTGTGTGATCTTGGCAGATTGCTAAACCCATCTGGGCTGCTGTTTCCCCAAAATGAGGGGATTGGGCCAAATCACACCTTCCCGAAGTCTTCTAAGATGCTTTGTGGAAAAACGGTTTCTTGGTCAAATAAGTTTGGAAAATGCACATTATGTCAAAAGTTCTAAGAAACAGGGGGCCGGCCTGGTGGCGTAGTGGTTAGGCTCATGTGCTCTGCTTCAGTGGCCTGGGGTTCGCCGGTGTGGATCCCAGACGTGGACCTATGCACCGCTTATCAAGCCATGCTGTGAAAGGTGTCCCACATATAAAATAGAGGAAGATGGGCACAGATGTTAGCTTGGGGCTAATCTTCCTCAAAAAAAAATGTTCTGAGAAATAGTACAGTAAAGGAAGGTGACTCAGCAGTTCCACTCCTGGGTATGTACCTAAGAAAATGGAAAACATATGTTTGTGCAGAACTTGTACACGAATGCTCATAGCAGCATTGTTCATAATAGTCAAGAGGTGGATATAGCCCAAATGTCCATGAACTGATGAATGAATAAACAGAATACCCATGCAATGGAATATTATTCAGTTGTAAAAAGGAATGAAGTACTGATTTATGCTAAACATAAACCTTGAAAACGTTTATGCTAAATAAATAAAATTGGTCACAAGAGACCACACAGCATAATTCGATTTATACGAGGTGCCCAGATTAGGCAAATCAATAGAGACAGAAAGTAGATCAGTGGTTGCCTGGGGCAGAGGGAGTTGTGGGGAAATGGGAATGACAGCTGATGGGGACAGGGTTTCCTTTTGGGGTGATAAGAATATTCTAAAATTAGATTGTATTCCTGGTGATCCAATTCTGTGAATATACTAGAAACCACTGAATATACAGTTTAAAGGGATGAATTTTATGGCATGGGAATTATATTTCATAAAGCTGTTAAAAAAAACAAAAGAAAAGAAAGGTTAAGACTTTGGAAGAGCTGGGTGCTTCCCAATTTGTGTCTGCCTAACCCCAGGACCTTGAGCAAGTGCACAGTTGAAAAGACCTAGCCCCATCTGCTCCTTGCAGCATCTCCAGAAAGAGGCCAAAGCAATGGGAGTAAAATCCGAGGCACTGTGTGGGTGACTTGGCTCACACAGCCGCTAAGTGGTGGTGTCTGGATTTGAATCCATTTCCGTAAGGCTGGGCACGTTGAATCATGTCGGCCCAGCCAGGGACACTGAGTGCTGGGAGGTTTGTGGCAATACTATCTGAGAGTGTGCTCTGAAAACTGGAAGGTGCTGTGCAGATGTGAGCACTCGTGCTAGCTGGTGACGATGGGAGAGGAGTGGTGTGGGAGAGTCACACCGACACTCATTCCTCTGAAGCTGGAATAGCATTTTTGTTTCAACCCGTGGCCCCTGATCAGCTAGCTCACCACTCTGAGTTTTGTGTTTCTTGTTAAAATGGAAGGCCAGCCCTTGTCTCATGGGAGCTGGTGGGAGCTAATAATAGTAACAGCCCCTTTTATTGAGTGCTTGCTGGGTGGCCTGCACGCCATGAGACTCAGTGCCTCATTGAAGGCACACATCATACTGTGAGACCAGTGTGGTCACCCCCTCTCACACAGGAGCAAAGGGAGGCATGCCAGCCAGCTGTTTTACAGCCTGATTTGTTCCATTTAACTTTCTGCCCGTTGTTCAATGGTCTTTGAAGAGATTATGAAAAGCTGTATAATCTGTCAGAGGCATATACCTCCTTTAACTATATACCTAGTATTTGACATTTGTTCCTATTTTGTTTTAAAAATGCAAACAATGCTATGATGGACAAATTTACACATAAAACTCCATGTGCCTCTCTGCTTACTTCCTTGAAGTCGATTCTTGGAAGAGGAATGACTGGGTGAGAGGGTATGAGCTCATTTACTGCTCTTCGTGTGTGTTGCCAAGCTACTTTCCAGAAAGAGAGCCTTGGACATCCACACTCCCATGAGCCGTGTTGGCAATGCCAGTGGAGGTGGATTAGTAACCAGCTTGGGCCTCTATTCTTTCTCTCATCCATTGGGATCATCCTCTGGAGACTGACCTTACCCAACCTCACACTTCCTAAAACTTATGTTAACCAGTGACTGGAAATAGTCAATTCCCTGGGTCTACTTTATGGGTCTATGGAGGTCCCCAGGGCACCTTCCCATGGAACCCCAATGGGCAAGGTAGACAGTAAATCAAGAGGGAGTTACTAGTCCTGCTGACAGGCTGGTATCAGAAACTTTGTGCTGAGGTCTCAGGTGTCATCTGCTCCATGAAAATGCCAGTCCTGCTAAGAAATACAGGACTTTGAATCTGTCATCGTCAAACCAACCAATCCATAATAATTCCTAAAATTTATTGAGTACTTACTTCATAGTTATGTGTATTAATTAATTTAAACTTTGTAATACTGCTATGAGGAAGATTTTATTATTATGCCCATTTTAACAGGGGGAATGAGGAGACTAAGGCACAGAAATTTGAGTAACTTGTCTGAGATCACACAGTAAGGAAGTAGGTGGTGGGTTAGGGACTTGGTTTGGTTCCAGTCGGTCTGACTCTACAGGCCCTACCCTCACCCACCACACTGGCCAATGGGCAACAGGTACTCTTGGTCAACCAGTCTTGAATTGGCAAGAGGGAGCAGAGGCCTGAGACCCCGTGAATGAGGCTAGTTTCTGATATACTCTCATGAGAACACCAATCAACAGAAAATTTGGCAACCCTGAGGCAATGTGATGAGGTACTAGTACCCATCAGAGGAGTCAGGTATAAAAAACAGATGGAAAATGATTTTCCTTCGTGTTTAGTGAAGGAAACATTTCCTTATACTTCTTCCCTGTGCTACCAAGAGTGACCAGTGCTAAGAATCCATGTGACCACCAAGATCCTCCTGGGTCCTGCGCAGCCACACCCATCCCTTCCCCCACCCCCTCAGCAGAGCTGTGAGGACTGTGGTGTGTGTGTGCACAAGTGTGCCCACATGTGTCCATTGTGCTCACTTCCAGGTTTGCTGTTACACAGGGTGCTGCACTGAGAGCTGGGCCTGGCGTGGGGAGGACGTGCTGCTGGCCCAGCCTGGTGTCCGGTACAGCAGGTGCTCAGAGGGGGATGAAGCCAGGAAGGGCCTGATGTGTGCATGGAGGGGTAGGTGAATGGATGGCTCCGTGAAGGTCCCAGTGCCATTTCTCCTATGAGTCTCCAGTAGACGGTGAGCCCCCTGAGAGCCATAGTCCTGCCACTTCATCCATTGCTGTGTTCCCAGGGTCCAAAGCTGTGTGAACTGTGGTAGAGAGTTGACAAATGCTAGATGGGTGAATGGAGGCAGGTACGGTAAGACTGTCAAATGTATGACCCAAGAATTCCACTTTTTGTAGTTAGGAAAATAGACATAGAGTTTGAGGAAGGGAAAGTCAGAGCTGGAAGAACACAGCAGTGAAAGGGAGTAAAGTGAGATACTGAGTGTGGGGACAGAGATGACAAAGGGACACCGAGTCTGCCTGCTGGGAAGATGGTAAGCGGACATGCAGGATGAAGGAAGAGCACAGCAGAGCAGGGTGTGGGCTGTGGTGAGAAACGAGGTTGGAGGTGGGGACTGGGAATCCCCCATGGTGGGGCACATCACAGTTTCCTGGAGGGCCTGTTAAAACAGACTGCTGGGCCTCACCCCTAGAGTTTCTGACTCACTAGGTCTGGGTTGGAGCCCAAGAATCTGCATTTCTAGCCATTCCTGGTGATGGCTGCACAGCTTTGGGCCCAGCCTTCCTGTCTGCCTTGGGGCACCCTGACCCTTCATCCCAGATGGAGCCCAGGGCTCAGAGCATCAAAGCTGGGGCGGCTTCCCCTGTCAGCGTATGAGGCTGCCTCAAGTGATGGGGACCTATGAGGCTTGAGGCTGCCCTGCGGCTTCCTGCCCACACACTGGTCATATTTGTTTTCCTCCAGAAGTAGGGTCCTTGTGAGAGCACCCAGTGGAAGTGAGACGTCAAGAGCAATGTGAAGCAGGGCCAAGGAGCTGCTGCCCCATGAGGCTGACTCACTGAAAACAAGGTGGGCTTTCTTCCCCCCATCTTCTTGCTGCCTGGGTGCAGACCATTGCAGAGACCAGCAGTGGGTCTAGTTGGAGGAGGGTGAGGAGGGTAGGCTTTAGAAATAGACTCCTTCTGCAGGGAGATTCTCAAGGGATGTTGGACAAAACAGACTCATTCCCATGCTCCGGGATGTGAGAACCAGGTCAAACGCTGACCCCTGAAAGGGAACCCCCTGGCCACCGAGACACCAGTCTGCACCCCAACACCTAGCTGTGGGGATGGGAATGGGGGTCCTCACACCAAAGACGGAGGGAACCAGGGCTGAGACCAGGAGAAGCAGTGCCTCTGTCGCATGGGTTCAATGAGTTCTGCAGTTTAGGAGTGGGGCAGCCTCAGGCTAGTTACTAAACTCTCTGAAACCAAGAAGCCGCATCTATAAAATGAGGATACTCAAGTTTGCAGTTCAACAGAGCTGATGTGGGATAAAGGGGATGAAATGTCAGTGGAGGGTCCTTGGCATCCAATGGGTTTCGAGAAGTCCCTGCGTGGGTGGCTATGCCCCAGCCGCTCATGCCTGCTCCAGGGCGGCAGGTCTGTACAGGGGCTGAAGCCACTGCTCCTGTCTGCCAGCCCAGGAAGCCAGGCTGCCAAACCCAGCACTTGGGCAGCAGGAGGCAGCAGGTGCCGCCTTTGATCTGTCGGGTTTCCCTTCGGGGCAGGCATGACTCACAGACTCTGAGGACTCAGGCCTCCTGCACTCCTGTGTTCTGGTTCCTCAAGGGCCCACCCTCCAGGCCCAGCCTGCTGTGATCAGGCCCTCACTTAGAATGCTGGGGAGACGGGGATCAGGGATTCCTTTAGGCCGGAGGTTCCCCAAGTTGAGTGTGCATCAGAATCCGCTGGAGGGCCTGTTAAAACAGATGGCTGGGCCCACAACCAGAGTTTCTGATTCAGGAGCTCTGGAGCGTGGCCCAAGAGTCTGCATTTCTAACCAGTTCCTGGGTGAGTCACACTTGGAGAACCACTGTGTTAGGCTCATCTCCGCCAGCCATTTTCCCCATTCCACCCAAAACGGTACTGAGGTCTGGCACTGTTCAGAACTGATGTCACCAGCGTGGGGCTCTGGGAGCCTCTGCTGGCTGGTGGCTGTCATGTGGCTCAGTGTGCAGGCCCTCAGTGCCTGCCATCCCCGCAGCAGCTGTTTCTGTTGTGGTTCTGTCCCTGGGCCCCTTCCCTTCTGCTGTTTCCCCTGGAACCACCTCTGCCTCCTTAGCCCTCTGGTCTGGAGGGATGCTCAACCCTGGACTAAGCTTCTGGGGTGCCTTGCCTGATGGGGAGAAATAACCCACTCACAGCCTTTCCGATGTCTGCGGAGCCTCCTCCGTGGGCCCTGCCCATTGCACTCACCCCACATCCGTTCCCTCCTCACAGGACCTCTTTTCCACAGGGGCCTCCCTCTTGCTCCTGAAGCCCCGGTCCTCCCTCCACACCTCGCTGGCCTGGAGCTTTATCTTGCTTGGGTCTCTGTTGGGCCAGGGCCCTGTACCATACAAAGGGAGTGGTAAGGGAAGGGCCAAGGGCTCAGAAATGTGTTGGCCCTGGTGGGAAATGCTTGCCTCCTGTGGATCCAGCTGCAAAGTACATATGAAGCAATGATTTAACAAAGGAAAGACCACAAAGGAGCTCAATAAATATTTGTTGAGCAGGGAAGCACACGAGCCACTTTCCACGATGCACACTCAGAAACGCTCCTGAGGGAGAAGCACTTTGAGTCCGAGCCCTGCAGGTGTGCTCGCAAAGCCCTTGACCCAGAGTGGCAAACAGGAGCCCCCGAGGTCGGAAATTTTTCTGGTGCAGTGATTTCTGGTGAGTTCCATGGCAGCTAGTGTCCCAGACTAACAGGCGCTATGCACCCACTAAGGGACCTGGGGTAACGCACTTGGGAAGCCCTGGGGTGAATAAACAGCAGCTAGTCCCCGTACTAAGAGGACTTCTCTGAGCCTGGATTGGGGAGGGGGCTGCCTCAGGCCCTGAGGTCAGTGCCCCCAAGCCCATTGCCCTGGGGCCTGTGTCTGCCAGATACCGGTCTGGGAACCCCGGGCAGGGTGGGAGTGAAGGCAGCTTCTTCTTTTCTCACAGAGCCCTCCTCAGCCCAGAGGCTCCAGCATTTGTGCCCAGGAAAAGGAGGGTTTCCTTTTCTTCCAGGCTTCCACCAGCAAGGCCAGAGAGAGGCACCCCACTCTCCTGACTCCCAAAGGGATGCTGGGACCTTTGGGGTAACTGCTGAGGACCACAAGTAGCCTGATGAGCCTGGGTCGGAGGTCTCCCCATATACACACATGTGTGCACTTGTGCGTGTGTACACACACATGCACACACAAACACCAGGGTTGTGCAGGTGGCAAACCCTGCAGCTCCAGGCCACTGGAAACAAAGTCACGGTCATCCCACCCAGGGACTCAAGAGCCTGAGGAAGACTCTGGTAGGAATATGAGCAAGCAGTGGATGAGAGTTTGGAGGGGCGTTCCCAATGCCCTCAGCTTGTGCTCTTTTCCTGCTCCGTCATCAGGGAGAGATGAGATCAGGAGCACAGAGCAGGGAGGGGTCACTCATTAGAGGGTGAGCTGGAAGCCAGCACTTTGGGGGAGGCAGTGCCCTGATCCCCTCCTGGAGAAACCACTCCTCCAGTATCTAGCAGCCCGTTCCCTTTGCCTTGTTTGAGGACCTAGCTCGTCCAAGGGATTTGTAAAGGGAGGGGTGGGGAAGGGTGTGGAGCCCCTGGAGGGGAGGGCTGGACAAGCCCAGCTTGTCTGAGACAGCAGGAGGAAGGGGTCAACACAAGCCCTCTGGCCTTTGCTCTGTTGGGGTCCCCCAAGGGACAATGCCCCAGCTCTCCTCCAAGTGAGATGCAAGGGGCAGAAGAGAAAAGGATGATTTCAGACTTGACATTCTTGGCTCCCAGAAGGGCAGATTGGATGTGAGGCTGGGGTGTGGGGTAGGGAGTGGGACAGGGGAGTAGGGTAGGGGAGTGTAAGGGATGCAGGGGTGAGGGGCGGCTGGTGATTGTCCTGCTTGCTCTGGAGAGAAGCCTGGATAATGGAGGAGTAGAGAGGGAGTAGGGTGGAGAGGAGGGCTAACCTGGGGTACCCTGAAGACCCTGATAATGGCTCTCACAGGCCTAGGAACTCAGATGCCCGAGTCATTAGTCGTCCAACAGGGAGCCCCTCTGGCCAGGAATGGATGCTTTCCTCTGGTGGTCAGTGGACATACGGCTGTGAGGCCTCCCCTTAGGTCCTCCTCCACCACCCTCCTGTGGCCACAGGTTAACCTGTCCATCATCGCAGGCCCTCAGACCTCTGGGGAGCCCTACCCACCCCTCTCTGCCCCATGTGTCTGGAGCTGTGCGAGCCAGACCTCCCCCATCGTGTGCTCACATCTGCCTCCTTGCCCCTCCCAATTCCTGTGCCATCCACTCCTCTCTCTACCTCCTCCATCCGCAGCTCGCTCCCGTCTTTGAGGAGACAGAGACACCTCATTAGAGAGGCCTGGATAGGCGCCCTGCTTTCCTCCATAGCAGGCCATGGAGGACCACGTTTGTCTAATAATAACCACATTTCCTGTTGCCTTCACTATCGCCTCAGGAAGACCTGACATCACCATTTCAGGCCACCCCTCCATTCTCAGTGGCCCTCATTGCTTCAGCTTGTGGCCTCCCTGAGCCATGGCCTCTGTGGCAGACCATCAGTGGTGAAGTGTCCACACACCCTGGAGCCCATAGGAAAGGTTGCAATGTGAACTGTAGGTGGGGTCTTTATGCAGTCAGCTAGTCCCTCCACTGTTGGCCTGTCTACAAGGTAATGCTGGTGCACAGGTTCTGTCCCGGCATGGGAGAGCCTTTTGGGGCTGTCCAGTTCCCCTGGCCTGATGTTGGCTCTGGTTTCTAGCTTCCTATAAAGCTGTTCAGGACAAATTGTTATGCAGAAGAGGGGATCCACCAACCTGGAAAGTGTCATCCTCCTACTGGGAAACTGGGACTGCATTTAGTCCCTCCCTCCTTCTCGAAAGGGCAGGGTCCCACAAGGCAGGACTGGCAAGGCAGAGAATGACACCGCTGCCCAAACACCTCTGTGCCTGCTGCAGGGAGGAGAAAGGTCTGGGATTCGGGGCTTGGCTCTGCACCTGGCTGAGCCTGTGGTCTTGAGCACAGCTTGCTCAGCTCTCCCCTCTGAACCGTGGATCAGCTGCCCTGCCCCCTCAGAGTTGCTATGAGGGTCCAGTGTGTTCCCACTCAGTGTGTTTGCTGTGGTCACAGGAATCCTGGGCTTACAATGTCGGGGGCACTCCAGCATCACAGACTTCACCCTTAGAGATGCACCTCTTTGCTATGGGAACGTTTCAGATTGTAAAATCTGAGAGCTGACCCTTTAAGAGATGGTAGAGTCCTCGCTCAGCCCCAGAACCAGGCCAGGAACTAGAGGGCCACAACGAGAGCGATGGGAAGACTAGGCACAGTTCTCCACCCAGGACTGCACCCCTGTCTCCAGGTACCTGGGATTTGCTGGAGCCTCAGTTCACCCACACACACAGGAAAGTCCCCAAGCTCCATGAATTCCATTCACTCTGTGACTACAGATGGGCCACATGTGCAACGAGGCCCCCCAGGCCCAGAGTCTGGGGAGCAGAAGGAGCCCAGGTGTGTGTGCATTGGGGTTCCTGGTGGGTAGGGCCATCTTCTCAGCAGCTGAGCAGGGTGGCACTGGGAGAGCTTGGAGCCAGCTAGCTCTCAGCACTGAGACACCCAGGGCAAGACCTCTTGAAAATGTAAACCTGAGCTGCAGTCCTCTGCTTAAAAATGTTCCTCCCCATGGCTCTCCCTCAGGGTCCATTGACTAGCTCTTCACTCACTTGCAGGGCCCCCCTGGCCTGGCCTCTGCAGGTTCAGGCTCGCCACACCCTCTACTCCTTCCCACTCTTTCAGCCCAAGCCACACACGCATTCCTCTGTTCCTCTCACTGACCCTGCTGCTTCGCACCACAGGGGACTTTGTAGGTGCTGTTCCCTCCTTCTAGAATGATCTTCCCCCTCCTCTCTGCTTGTTACCTCCACTCTCCCCTCAGATCTCCCTGACCAGGTCACATCCTCCATGTCCTTGTTCTTTGAAGCACCTACCATCGCTGCAATTTTGTGTGTGTTGTGCTATGTCTGCCTCTCTGACCAGACTGTGAAGCTTCATGACAACCTGGTTTTTGACCCCCACAGCATCCCCAGTGTCAGCACTGAGCAAGACTTGGGGGACATTTGTTGGATGGATGGAAGAATGGATGGATGGATGGATGACTTTCTCTCTCTGCGCCTTTGCCAGCCCCAGTGCTGAAATGGATGTCCCCTGGCAGCCCCCAAACCAAATGGCCATTGACTGAACTCAGGACCACTTGCTTTGGCCAACTCAGCCCTGAGCCCTGGGGAACACGGGCCCAGAGGAGATTGATTCCTCCAAAGGCTGAGATCCTGGCATTTTTGGCCTGGTTTAACCCTCTGTCATAGTCTGATCAGGCTGTTATAACAAAAATATCATAGACTGAGTGGTTTAAAAAACAAAAATTTATTTCTCACGGCTAGGGAGCCTGGGAGTCCAAGATGAAGGCGCCGGGAGATTCAGTATCTGCTGAGGACCCCACTTCTGGGTTCACAGTCGGCTGTCTTCTCACTGTATCCTCACATGGTGGAAGGAGTGAGGGGGCTCCCCAGAGTCTCTTTCACAACAGCCCGAATCCCATTCCTGAGGGCTCTACCCTCATGAGCTAATCACCTCCCAAAGGCCCCACCGCCTAATACCATCACACTGGGGAGTAGATTCTGGGGGGACACAAACATTCAGTTCATGGCACTCTTCCACCTCCCCTCCAGGGCAACCCAGCCTGGTCATTCAGGCCTTTCAGAGGCACACACAGATGATTTATACAAGCGGACAGGGGGATCAATACCCTTTGTTGGGCCTGCTCAAGTTTGATTTGCCGTTTACTCGCTGTGTGACCCTGGGCAGTCACTTAACTCCCCCAGCCTTCATCCCCTCATCTACCCTGACACGCTTGCAAGGCTACTAGTGAGATGAACATTCGTGCAGACACTTGCAAGGTCCATGGAAAGCACCACACGCCGTGCAGACAGGAGAGGCTGTGACTGGGGTCGTCAGCTGGGTGAATTGCAGTCACAGAGGTTGATGGCACTCAGGCTGATAGTGAAGTCTTCCCAACTCCTCTCTGTTTGTGCTTCCGTCTGCCTCTGGCTCAAACCCTCTGCTGGGACCACTGTCGTTTCCATTGTCCTGACCCTTCTCCCACCCCAGCACCCTACCAGGCTTACTGACCTTGGCCTGGGGAAAACATGGCCGTCTCTACCCAGAGCTTCAGCCCCAACCCTTGGCTTCCAGTCAAAACAGCCAATTTGTGGCCATCATGGCCCCATTCACCCCATTCCTTCTCAGCTCCTCGAACTAACCATCTTTCCTCATAGTGTCCCCTTCCTTCCTTTGCCTCTGATGTGGCACTGACTCTGGGAGCAGAAAGACAAGATCTGAATCTCAGCTAGCTAGTGTGGTTCTGCCAAGTCACTGCTCTGTGACTTGGTTTCCTCATCTGTAAAATGAAGACCCAGTCCCCTTGCAGGTTGCAGTGAAGACAAAATGATGATGTGTGTGAAGTGCCAGCTCGGTGCCTGAAACACAGAACTTGCTCAAGAAATGTGGGTTATCCTTTCCTCTTAAAGTCTGCCTTTTCCTCACAGCCCTGCTTGCAGAGTCTGCAAAACTGTGCCACCACAGCCCAGTGTCACCCTCCTTCCTTGCTCCTGCAGACAGAGGAGGCTGG